CCATGGCTGGGAGTGAGGGTGCACTGGCCCAGCTCTGCACCAGCAGATGGTGTGGTGTGAAGTTTACCTTTTCTGCACCTTTGTTTCTGTGTCTGTAGAAGAGGGATAAAAATCACTGGTAAGTTCTCAAGAGATGCTAAAAGTGCTTTATCAGTGCACACTAACATGTTAAGTCGCATCACCTCCCTCTTCTTCATACTGGGAACCAAATACCTTTAAATTGTTGCAATATATGTTAAAATGCTAGATTACTGTTGCTTTCACTGCGGTTTAGGTTCTTTCATCTCATTGTGCACTCCACAGATTAGTCCTTTACATGATAAACTCCTAAAGCAGGTTACTTCCTTCTATTGGGGTGTTCTCTGTTCTTTTATCTCTATATGAGAATCTCTAGGACTTTAAAACTGGAGGGCGTTTCCCTCCTAGTTGTCACCATTACCTTGGAATTCATTGGTGAACCTTTTCCCCATACTCTTATTATATCTTTAGTTGTGGGTCTCTAGGCAGACTCTTAACTAGAGAGGACTACAGTAGAACAATGACCTGCTAGTTAACAAAAAGTGATTTCAGAATACTTCTATTTCCACATGTACATTCCTGAGTAACTGGCTCAGTTGGAGGGTACTGTGGTCACTTTCTGGAGTGCTTGCTAGACAGAACCCCTTCCTTGGGAATCACTCCTGCCCCCTACAGCTATAGCTACCACTGGAGTGGGTCTCTGTGACCATACATGCTTCTCTTCAACAGTCAGATTAGGGGTGGACACCTGACCTAAGATGGGCAGCAACCAGATTCTTCTGGTAAATCCAGAGCTGGAACCCAGAATTCGAGTCAGCCAGCTGCGGGAAGCTGAGCTGAAAAGTGATGTAAAATTGATGCTGGAATTGGTACTGTTTTTGTCAAGACAAAGCAAACTGCATGCTGAATTCATGGGAGAATATGAAGTTGTGGAGGCAGGGAGCCCAACCTGTAGAGGACAGTGAGAAGCAGGTGCAGAGAGGCAGGCCAACGACGAAGACCACGTGGCCTCTGAGAGAGGTGGGGAAGAAGGGCCTGTCCCTGCAGAGGCTGTCTTTCTGCCATTGAGTCAACACAAGTGGATTTCTGCTTCTTACAAGTGAGAACCTTGAGGGAGCCAAGCAAGGACTGGGTGATAGACAAATGTTTCTGGGCGCACGTAAGAATGTGTAGAAGCAGGTGGGCCTGCAGCAGGGGGTAGGTGATGTCATGAATAATCTTTTCCCAGAACACACACCTGTCTAGTGCCTGCCATCCTATACACCTTAGGATGTAGGTAGATGTGTGCAACTCAGCATGTGCTGTAGCTGGGCCTATGCCATGTGCAGAAGCCGCGAGAATAATGAAGCAAACCCCTTTCCAGCCTTGGGATGGGCAAGACTGAAAGTTAAGACTGGCCAGGTCCATGGTTTAGAATTACAGAATCTTAAAACCAGAAGGACATTGAAGATTATCTTCACCAATGTCTCGGCAAGTACTGGTACCCCTTTTTAATGACCAGCCCCACTCTGGCCACTTCCCCAAACCACAAGGTTCTCTAACTCAGATTACCGGTGATAGCAACTGATTAAAAAAACCTGGCAAAAATAAGTATAGAGATAATGGGGAACGTGAAATGGCAGTTCTACTCTCCTGGCTTCTTCACTTGTTCTTTTCTGGCGCATGTGATGCTCCCATCTTGATTGACATACTCCCATTTTTTTTTTTTTTGTGAGGAAATCAACCAATTGGGCCCAACTGAAAGTGCTTTAAAAAAAAGTTACTTAAGGCCCTATCTGGTGTGGCTCAGTGGGCTGAGCGCTAGCCTGCGAACCCAGCAGTCACTGGTTCGATCCCCAGTGTAGGGGCATATTGCCTGGGTTGTGGGCCAGGACCCCAGTAGGGGGAGCATAAAATGTAACCACACACAATGATGTGCCTCTCTCTTCCTCCCTCCCTAAAAATAAAATCTTTAAAAAGAAAGTTACTTAAAAATAACCATTTTTCCTTCCTGTCCTTTCCCAGTTGATTGCCTGGTATCCATTTGCAACTGCATGCTACTTGAAACATCCACATGCAGTGTTAGGTTTGTGGACTTTCAGATGAGTATTTGTGTAGGTGGTTAACAAAATATGATTTCAGAGCTGACTGACATTATTAAGGTTTCACTTGCCAATGCTGTCTGAAGATGATTAAGAGTTTCATTTTCTATTTTTTAAAAGATTTTATTTATACTCAGTGAGACGGGAAAGAAGAAAGGAAGAGAGGGAGAGAAACCTCAGTGTGTGAGAGACAATCAGTTGGTTACTTCCCGTATGCCTGGGACCTGGCCTGCAATCCAGGCCCTGACTGGGAATTGAACTAGTGACCCTTCCATTCACAGGCTGGCATGTAACCCACTGAGCCACACCAGCCAGGGCAAGATTTCATCTTCCAAGAGGATATAAATCTTGGTGAGTAATAAGGCCTCACTACCTCCAGAAGCTGCAGCTGAACATGTCCATTTACCTGAGTTCACTGCAAGGCTGGCCCACTTGCTCTCCTCTCTGATCCCGAGCTCCATGAAGAGATAAGGCTCCTTACCCAAAGGCAGGAGACCTGAGACAGTGACTGTTGGTATAGAAATGCTAGCAAATGCTCCAGCTCAAGCTGTCTTTAGTTCTAGCATTTGCTTCTCCACAGTTCCACTGTGACAGGGTCAACTTACCTTGGTTTTCTCTGCTTCAAAAACAGATCTCTTACCTTCCACCTTCCTACTACAGTAGGAAATAATTACTCAAAATTGCTTTCTCAAACATTTAGCAAATCAAAGAAGTGATAGTCACTTCTTAAATTTGTTGTGGGATGTGACTCATTCCACAGTTGAATCTGTGGACCCTCCCTCTGTGAACATAACTCAAAGCCTCCATCTCTGTACACAACAGGCACTTTCTTCACTTTTGGAGATGGAATTTACCTGTTAATCCTAGAATTTCTCAAGGCAACAGAGCTGGCCTCTAACACTGTAAACATGCCCTGGCTGGCTTCTCAAATCACTCCCCGACAGGAGCAATCTACAGGCTCCCAGAAAATGCAGTGCAGGATGAGGAAGATGAGGAAGATGAGGACCAAGTCTCACTCGGCACTCCTGGCTTCCCCTCCCCAGCACCTTGGTGGCATCCAGGATGCAGCAGGGTGAAATTCAATAAATGTCTGATGAAATGTCTATCCTTTTAGCCTAGATTTTCTCTAGGGAAAGGGCCTTCCCTCATGGCAGGACTTAAGGTATTTTCTAATCCTCACACTGAATGGGTAGAAATGGAGCATTATGTACCACTGGAATGGAAAGAGTATGTTGCATACAGGGGCGTAATTGCATTGTTTGCATCATTTTGAACTTGTGTGTACAACTGAAGGATGTCAGCCCTGCCTAGCTCCTCATCCGTTTCATCTGGGCCCATGGTAAAATGACCTGACCTCCATGTTCTCCCATCAGGCTGAGACTGTCTGGCCACATTGAAGGTGTGTGTGGATTCTCACTCCAGCCATCAAGTGAAGTAAGCTCCCTAATGCCCTTGCACTTGTTCTTTCTGTGTTTCCTGCCTTGACTCTTCAGACCCCTTCGAAACCCACTTTAGTAATAAACTCCCCTAAGGTTTTCCTAATTCCCCAAAGATGTAATTAATCATTTCGTTCTCTGTGCTAGTTCCATAGTTTATATATTTTGTATATGTTAAAGCTAATACTGATAAAGTACTTTTTATGTACCATGGAGTGTTCGCTTTATATATGTTCACTCATTTAATTTCCACCACAATTCTATGACATAGATACTTTTAATATTTCTATTTTATAGATGAGAAAACTAAGGCACAGCTGGTAAACAACTTGTTCTAAGTCACAGGCTTGGAATCCAGGTAGCTCATAAAACATGCTGCTATGTATTTCTATTGCTGCACTTAATATATTATGCTTTCATTTATTTGTTTCACAGTCCTCTTCAATACTGTGAGTTTCTGAAAGCAAAGACTGTTTTATCTGTTCAGCTCTCATTCCCACACTTGGCAGTCCCAAACAAACAGACTTCCCTGTGTGCTCACTAAACCATGGCACAGACCCGCCCCTATGATTAGCTAAGTCAGCAACTTTCTCATGAGTGTGGGACTGGTTTTCACTGGGCGATCTAGGATTAAGTAAATCAAGTGCATCGGCCATTTGCAATCATTTCTGAGAAATGGCTCATCTGAATCTAGAAGAGGGAAAAAAAAAAGGAGTATCATTCCACAATTAAGAAACTCTAGAACCTGGACAAGGACTGGAAACCAAATCTCGAAGTCAAAACAACTCGGGTAGAATCCAGAATCCACTCTTTTTTTGATTCAGGAATGATAATTCTTGAGTTTCTGTTACCCATTAGTGAGGAGAAGTCAAATGTAAGAGAGAGATGTACATTACATCTTAATAATTATTAAAACAACAAACCCAAACATGAGAGACTCTGAGAAAATAAATTACAGCTGTGGGCAACTGGCAACTAGTGCCCATGATTTATATACATACAAGGGTGACTAAGAGCCTGCATTTGAGAGTACTGTTCTAGGATCTCAATCTGGCTCTGACCCTGACTACTGTATGACCCTGGTTCTTTAACCTCTTAGTACCTGAACATGTATAAAACAAGGGTAAGAAGAGAATCTACGTCGTAAGATTGCTGTGAGGATTAAATGAGTTACATGAGTGAAATGCTTAGCACAGTACCTGCACATAAAAAGGGCCCAATAAACACAAGCTATTGTTCTTCTTGGTTACTTAGTCAAGCAGGTGAAGAACTGGTGCATATAAAGCATATTACCACAAACACCCATCACCTTTACCCCTGCTGCCAAGCACACAGTGCGCATTTCAGTGGATTTTCACTGAATGAATGAATGGCCAAAGTGGTTCACAGGCTTTTGTTCAAGGAGAGAAACTACAATGGCAATCAGAAGTAAGGCTTACATGTCACGAGGACTAGCCCAGTAAATTCTTTAATTCAGCATTCTATTAATGAGATCGATGTATTATAGACATCTACTTTATGTATCCATAATAATGATCTTAGGCATTGTATACATCCTTTTGTGTATTACAAATTATCAATGGTTAAATTATATTCAAGAAGTTTTCAAAGTAAGTATGTATTACTGCATTCAAATGCTTTAAAAACTAGAAATCCAGGTAGAGTCTAAATGGAATGATGAATTAACTGCAATATTCTGATTGACTGTAACACTTAGTTCACACTTCAGTATCCACATGGCATTGTTACCTGTCTACATTCTGTATTTCCCACTAGACTATTATGCGTTCATATTCCACAGTGCATGGAATATATTCATGGTCATTAAATACTTTCCAAATAAATAGCCATTGTGTTCAATGACCATACCAAATTAAAATTTTTAGTCCAGTAACATGTTCTTTTGGTATACTTACATTTCCACAAAATAATAAAAAAAAAAAACCCTTCTACTTTAGACCTTACAAATACAAATTTCAACATTTAAAAATATGGTACACTTTAAGAAAATCATTCTTCAAAAACCTAAAATTTAAGCCTAAATGACTTCAAAGAATCTACTTTAAACTGTAAGCTAAAGCATCTAAAAAGTCCTTAATTTAGATGATTTCTAACAAAATCAGATAAAAGCTGTTAATTTTCTTATAACAAACTATTAAAGCCTTACACAGCTCATTTGTCAGAAGTTACATCATGTTAATATATTATGGGCAGTGGTACCTGCTCAAAGGAAATAGGAAGAAAGAATGGGAGTATGTGAAGGGAAGTCAGGTTCAAAAGTGATCTCTGATACTTCCTCTTACACATTATGCAAAAGATATGAGACTCAGGAACCTGCTCTGGACACACATCAGAAAGACAACTCAATAAGAGAAGCAGCTTATCATCTCCTGGACTCTTACACAAATGATAGGGAAGATGGCCAATGTATTGATACAAAAAGGGTGCCTGTTGCAAGTGAAGTCTTAATCCAAGGCAGCTCCCCTTCAGCTCAGTGCCCCACCCTGTCACATTCCACCAGGCTCCTTAACTCCAACGGAGGTCTAAAGGAGTCCACTCCAAAGTCGCATGCCACACACCCGACCTGGCTACTTGAAGTATAAAAGAAATTCAAAATTTAGCAAAAGGATCTTGACTTTAAAGGGGGAGGTGAGTGGGGGTGTTTAGATGTCTGAATTCAAGCATGGATGCCAGAGACAAATTCCCTCTCCTCACAACTGTCTCTGCAATCCGCACTGCTTTCCTGGTCTGGAGGTGAGTGGGGCTTCGGGGGAGGGTGGGTTCTGTGGGAGCACACTCTGGTACTCACTTTGTCCGAACAGTAGCATTCCTCCAAAGGGGGAGCAGTGCTCACAAAGGTATGTAAGTTGGGCAGGAAATGATTCTATAAAATGGGTATTATCTCTCAGCACTATTTCTGAGGATTTGATGAGATATTTTGGAGTATTTAACAAATTGTCAGGCACAAAGGGACCTGAAAAGTGTTTATTTACTCTTATTTCACTGATATGTACCAACATTGATCAAAATATGCTTCAAAGAAAATTTGTTCACAGACCCTTAAGAACTGCAACTCTGCTGAAATCCGCCAAGAGCTGCTTATGATACAACAGAGCAAATTGTTTTCTTTTTTAAGATATATCACTTCAGAAGTTACTGTGGCAACATGTAATTTCAAATCTTTCCAATGCCCAGCAACCATAATTTTATTACATTTTGACAGTTACAACATGCCCTAAATGAGTGTACTGGCTGAGTTTAACAATCTCACCTATTATATAAGGTCTTCCTGTATATCAGCCTTCCTCTCAATCTCACAATGGTTTAGGGTTTAGGATTTTTACTTCCTCATTTTTGGCTGTCAAAAAGTATGTTTATTAGAGTAAGAGAGCCCTGAAATAAAAGAATATGGAAACCCAGCCCTAACTGGTGTTGCTCAGTGGACTGAGAGCTGGCCTGCGAACCAAAAGGTCACCGGTTCAATTTCCAGTGTGGGCCCATGCCTGGGTTGTGGGCCAGGTCCCCAACTGGGGACATGCAAGAGGTGACTGACTGATCCATATGTCTCTCGCACATTGATGTTTCTCTCCCATTCTTTCTTTCTCCCTTTCCCCCTCTCTAAAAATAAATACATAAAATCTTAAAGAAAAGAAAGTATGGAAACCCAGGTGAAAGGGAGTCTCTCCCATGGCCAATATTTTAGTATTAAGAAAGCAATTCCAAAAAATTAATTAGGAATGACACCAGTCTCCCACACAGATTAGCTATTCTACTGAAAGGTAACAAGTGTTTAAGAGACTCAAACTAAGTGTTTAAAAGACTCAAGCTAGATACTGTCAGGTATGATGAGCTAAAGGTAACTAAAATAAGCTGAAAAAAAAAACCACCAAAAAACCAAACACACCAGGTTTCCAGAAATATCAAAACATAACTTTAAATGACACACAGCTCTGACCTGGAAATGCTATTAGCAGCCACCAAGTTCCACCTGGCAGGCACTGTCACCACAAAAACAAAAGGCAGGGGTAGAAGACACAGGTGTGTTTCAGGGCAGTTCCAAACATAAAAAGACAAGGTTTTGAGAAAGTTATATGCTACAAACCAAGCATACAACAGGCATCAAGAATTTTCAGTCCTATACAGATTTATCACAGCACTATCCATCTGCTCCCTGATACCAAATCTCAAATAATTAAGAACTGGAAGACAATGGGGAAGTGATTTGGTTCCTACACCAGAACAAAGTAGGAAAAGACAACTGGAGGCAGGGTAGGAAAATGGGACCGCCTTCCTTAATCAGAATTTATTTTAGGGTGGGAATGCAAGGATAAAAATTTTCTTAGTGCAGTGGCACTCAACCCCAGCATTCTGGTGTTCTGCTGTTAAAAAATAAATACCGAAAAATATTTATTTCAATGGATAGTTATTTCCTTGATTTGCTTTAGTTACATAACCTCTTATCCCCATCATGAATAATGTGGTTTAATACAAATTAAGTCTATAAATAAACTTGTTATTTCTTTAAAAAAAGAAAAAACCAAGTAACTTTTCAAGAATTGTTAAAAAAATTTACCTAGAGAAATTATAATATCAGTCATTTTACTCCTATTAATAGATGGCGTTCAAGTTCAAATATCAGTGCAGTATGCTTAACACATCACCCTTGAGTTCTGTTAGTATGCTGGCTTACAGTCTTCTTAATCACTCTTTTCTTCTCCTTGGTAATGTCTGTATTCTGGCTTCAACTCCCATGTGTTTTTGTGGATCCCTTTTACATTCTGAATACCAATTTCTTTTAAGATTTCCTTCAGGTACCCCTAAAAAAAACCCAAAACAAACAAACAAACAAACAAACAAAAAACCAGAGATGAGCTTGTGAAGGCAGGAAACAAAATTTAACATAAAATGATATACCAAACCACATTTATAAGTAATAAAAATTATGATCCTGAATGTGCAAAAAAAGGTTTCTCTATAAAGAGGTTCAATAAACTGCCTTTTGATTCTACACATGCAATATATGGTAATGGCACTCAATATATGATTGGAAGTCATATATGGTTGGAAGTCCTGAATGATAACACCTGAGAGTTAAAAAAAAAAAAAAAGTCTAGAAAATTACTGGTGCCCAATGTTTATTAAGATGACATTATACACCAAGTATAATCTGCCCCTGAGTTCAGTGGCCTCACTCAGTTCACAGACAGTTATCCTTGAACCAATCATTTCAGAAGCAGTAGTATACATTAAAAATGACAAATATTTTTGGAACAATAATATTCTATGAGGCAAGCACAAGACAGGTATCCAAAATTCTCAGTTCTAAGCTGAATTCTCAGATTTGCTCTCAGGCCATTTATTTTTCCTGTGTAGTAAGGAAAGTCATCTTTGTCTTTACTATTATGAACTTGGCCAAGGTTGTCAAGACAGAGTGAAGATAAGAAGTGACAGAAAGCCCTGCTAAAACCCTAGGGGCTGCAGCTTCGTTGTGTGTGGCTCCTCTGAAGGAAAGAGACAAGCAGGTTGTTACTGTAGGGCAGAGCTCTGCGTTCTGGTATTCCAGGTCCCTGAAAATTCAACAGATATTAACCAAATGACTACTATATTCATGGGAATGATGGCTACAATAAATGTAATACTAAATCCTACCTTTGCTTGCCAATGTCCAAGGCCAAAAGCATGGCACTATAAACTGACCAGTATAAATTATAGTACTTTACACCTCCTTCTTGGAGCAGACAGAAAAGTCAATCATTTAAAAGTGATTTTTTCTCTGCTATAGAACAAACCAATCCAACAATTATTCTTGTCTGTATGCTTCAAAGAAGCAGTTACAGTATTATAGTGACTTATCCCTTTTGAGGAAAGATATAGTACTTTTTACTTATTGAAATGAGGCACTGACTAGAAAAATGACTGATAAACCCCTACCTAGGCAGTGTTTAAGGCCGTGCCCTTTACCAGGGCGGTGCTAGACCACCTACACTGGAACCTCATGCGAAGCCTGTTAAATAAGCCCCATTTTAGGCCTAGTGAATCAAAATCTCTGGGGCCAGCCCTGGGTGTCTGCATTTTCAAAAGCCCCTAAGAGACTCTGATTCAACTGAAGTTCCACAGCATCTGCTTTAAGGATTCTTCCAGCTCTAATATTCTAGGGTATTTGAGTCTCTGAAGTGTTCTCCGAACCTTACTGCTGGAGATTATTCGTTAACCAACATAACCTACCACCACCTTACACTGTTATAGTACTCTACAGTTTATAAAGTCCTCTCATTTAGTGGTAGGTTGTCACCTAGAAACGGCAGCTGATTAGCACTGGAACTATGTACACATGAGTTCCTTCTATGGCCCTGGGTGGGCTCGGTTCCACCAAGTGAGCAGCATTGCCATTCCAGAGGCCAGGCCCCAGCAGGTGGCAGCAATGAATCAAATGAAGCCTAGGTTTCCCCAGAAGGCAGCCTGCTTGCCTCCCACGCCTGCAGCGTGCTTTACCAAATGACCATTGTGCATGAATAAGCAAAAAGGCTTGAGACATCCAGGTCATGTGCATGTCTGCCATCTGCCACTTCAAATTACATTTAGAAAATGGGACACCTCATAAACTACTTTCTAATTAAATAGGATTCATAAATGGAAAATGATGGGTTGGGCACAAAGAATCTTCAGTTTAGATGCCAAGAATGACATCTTTGTAAAATTCCAAAGAATGACTTGTGAGCCTGGCAAAGACCCCATGCACAGAAAATCATAAAACTGTGGATGCTTTGCAATGGGTCAAAAATGAAAAGAGCAATTGCCAGGAGCACTGAGGTTGCCTGATAGAAGCTCTCTTGATTTCAAGTCTAGTATGCCCATTTATAATTTAAATATAGAACATGAAAAACCTAAAAAGGGTTAAACACAAAATATTAAGAAAGTCTTAAGTGTAAAAATTCAGTTGCTTTCGTGTGTAGTCCATCTTCATTTTGCAAAACTACTATACCAAAAGGTTATGGAGCATTTAAAAAAAATGAAAACATTACTCTTTTTTTCCTTTTTACAGTAAAAATGGAATGACACAGTAATAGATTCATAGACTGTCAATTTATTATATTAGGTAACGAGATGGGATTAGGGTCACATTATCTAGCCATCATCCAGAATTTTTTTTTTTTTTTTTTTGGCAGAGGGTTTGGGGGAGGAAGACAAACCTGTAGAGTTTTAGAATATTCCCAAGTGCAAACTAAGACTATTTTACGTTAACCAAATGAGTTAACTTGGCACCAAGCATTGGCAGAGAAAGTAGCAATAATGAAAGGGAAAAATACGGTCAGAAAATACCTGAAGGAAAGACACAAGAGAGACACAGTGAGATCATATCATTCCTCTGTTTAATTTTTTTCAATGACTTCCCCCCTTTGGCCTACAGGTTAAATTCCAAAATCTTTGAATGAATCCATTCAGGTCTGCCTTTTTTAACCTTTGGCTTCATTTTCTAATACTTCCCTTTATATGTATTTGCCATTTCTGTGTCTTCAGGCTTCTAGTTTTTTCCATATGTCATTCCTTTTTCCTGTAATGCTAACATCCTTTAAGATTTGGCACAAATGTCCCTTTCTCAGAGAAACTTTCCCTAACATTCCCAGCTTTCAATAATATAGTCTTCATAATATATTAAAACCCTTTATTTACATGTCTCTCTCTTCCATCAAACCAGGCTCCTATTACACAGTGCCTGCCCTGTACATTACAGAGGCTTAGCCCACTCACGCTGAATTGACAGGGTGTGATTAACAGTAAACGAGGGAGCTAAGAGAATTGAAGGGGGTGCTTCAGGGGACATCACTTAGAAGGTATGGGAATAAAATAAGGTAACTGTAGTTCTTTCTTTTTTTAAAAAAAGATTTACTTATTTCTTTTTTTGAGAGGGGGAAGGGAGGGAAAAGAGAGGGAGAGAAACATCCACGTGAGAAGGAAACACCAACTGTCGTTGCCTCTTGTATGCACCCCGAAAGGGGACCAAACTCACCATCCAGGCATGTGCCCTGACTGGGAATCAAACTGGCAATCTTTTGCCACATTGCTCAGGGCTCTAGTTTTTTCATTTTTAGAATTCAAGCTCTAATTAACTTATAGGGCAATGACCCAGTTTGAGAAATAAAAGCTGATTGATTAAACTATATTACTTGCATTTGAATAACATTTATTACTAAAATCTGCTGTAATATATATATAATATATATAATAAAATATATAGTCTATATATAGTAACATTACTAAAATCTGCTTAGTAATATATATAGTAAAATATATAGTAATACATAAATAAATATATTTATTATTATTATATATTTAATATTGTTGGAGAAAAAGCCAACTGAAGGGGAAATTTAAAGGTTCTAATAGGATCAAAGATTGACTTTCCTTTTTTAAAATTCATATATTCACACAAATATTTATTTTAGCACCTATTTTGTGCCAGGTAGAGTGGTACAAGTCAGTTTTTATCCTCACAGAATTCAGTTTAAGATAAGGATATGTGGGGCAGGAGACTTCAGGCATATAAACAGGCAATCATGAAATAAAACAGAAGTAGAGTAATAAAGGACATATACACAGGATATTATGGGAGTGCTGAGAAAGGGCACCTAACCCAGCATGAGTCAAGATGTTATGTTGTTTGAGGGTATATATTTGATCACTTGAATTGAATGGTAATTCCGTGCAGAGATCAAGAAAAACCAGTCCTCTTCCCTTTACTTATTCTGAACATTAACTTCTCAATGTGATCTTTTGCCTACCTGTATTTTAAACAAAGGATTCTAGAACTGAGTAGATCACCTTTACGTCACATAAAATTGTAGAGATTTCTAATTGCTGACTCTGTGCAGTGCTGCAGAACAAGATCTGAATAAACTGGCCTGAGGCCCAGCAGTTCTTCATCAAAGGGATGTGTGGGAGAGTATTTACAGTAATCTGCATGCAGAGAAAAAAGGGATAGAGTATTACCTTCCTTGGAAGGAAAAGGCAAAGCACATACTGAACCAAAGAAGTGAAGTGACAGGATACGGTTTGCATTTGTGGGTAAAGATGCAATTATGGTGGCTAAAAAGCCAGAAGTCCACCGATCAGATTCTAATTCCTCCTCCAAGATCAAGACAAACCTATGTAGAGTCATAAGGCAAAGCAGTCCAGTATTTTAGCGTCTTTCTCCTTCCTCCCCTTCCTCCAACCCCAGTCATTTCTCATATCATGTTTCCCTCCACTCTTTGCCAACTAAATGGAGGATTCATCTGCATTTCATTTTATCAGGACTTTCAGTGTTACGCATTACAAAAATATAATAAATTAACTATATCTCAATTCCTAGAAATGGATCAAAAAAGATATATCTTCAATAGAAAGTTGATCATCAAGTAATACTGCTTTAGGTAGTATACGACTCTACTAGACTTCTAGTCATAAAACGTTCCCAAGATTGGAGTGAATACGCAATATGCAAATCTACACCAAAGACTACCACTGGTTAATGCAGTCACCAATGGGAAATCACTGTACGTGTATGCTTCTTATAGAGCGATCCAAGGGCAAGAAGGGCATTATCAGTTCTGTAATAATGTCAAAATATCACTTCATATTTATGTGATTTTTGTATGTCTGTGACTCCTTTAAGCAAGCTCAACAGAATGGAGGACTTACTGATGAAGACGTTAGTGGCTCTGAAGCATAAAATTCTTTCATTAAAAAAATAAACTACACATTAGGCATAAGCTGTGAAGGACGGCGACTGCTTTACATACAGAAAACTGTGAAGAGGAGAGGAAAGGTGATGCTGGGG